AGGGAGAGGGAAAAAGTACCCCCAGTGAGGCGTGGTTACACTGTAATTGTGTCTTCATTTCTCTGTCCTATTGAGATTTTGGGCACATTCCCATGTGTGCCTGGCTTGTTTCTAAAGCCACTGAGGCTGAGATTCAAATCACATACACCATTGGCCATGTAGGATCTGATTCCCTTAGCCACAATACCATGGGGCCAGCTCAATACTGTCTTTATCTGAAACAAACAAAAAATTAGAAAATAAGTATTGTTCATGTATTTATTGTATTGTATCAATCTTGTATATAAAGAGTATTGTTTTAATGGATATTTCTACTTGAACATCTGTCTTTTATTAGTTTTTAGAGACTCTTACTAGAGTTTTTGTTGTTGTTAGCTCTTTTGTATTACAAATATTTTCTTCCATTTATTTAAAATGTGCAAAACTTTAGTTTCTTGCAAATGGATGTTAGTAATTTTATTGAATGACTTGGGCTTTCTGCACTAATTTGAGATCCACTTCTCTATTTTTGCTGTTTGCTTATCATCTATTCCTGCGCCAGTACTATTTTCCTGGTGAGGCATTTTACAGTTGACCCTTGAACATGCAGGTGTCAGGAGCACCATTCTCTAATACAATAAAAAAATGCTCGTATAACTTTGACTCTCTTAAAACATAAGTATTAATTGTCTGCTGTTGACCAGTAGCCTTGTCAATAATATGAACAACTAATATATACTCTGTACATTATATGTATTAAAATAGTGTATTCTTACAATAAAGTAAGATAGAGAAAAGAAAATGTTACGAATATCATAAAGAGGAGACAATACATTTATAATACTATGTACTGTAGTTTTCAATATATTTATTGGAAAAAATCTCTATATATGTAAACCCACATTGCACATGATGCTGTTCAAAGATCAGCTGTGTTTTGTTTGTATAGATGAGGGCAAGTCCCCTCTTGATCACTCTCCTTAGTTGTTTCAATGGAATATGTCGCATTTATTTTTACAGTGATTGACCATAGAAAGGTTATTAATAGTCCAGTACAGTACAGTGGTTAAAAATACTGGCTTTGAATTGAATAGAACTGGGCTCGAATCCTAGTATGTGAATTGAGAACTAAATTTCTTCACCTTTTTAAATGTGTCTGTTTCTTAATAGGGTTGACAATAGTGTCTGCATGATAGTCTACAGTTATTTTGTTAAAATGTTTTTATAGGAATTCTTAGGTAGTCATGGCAGTAAGAAAAATATTTTCTAATTTAATTCCCAAACTAAATTATAAAGAGTGTTTTAAAAAATTCTTTTACTGCCTTGCAGCTTTATTAGAATCAGAGGTGGGTTGGAAGGGATCTTTACTATACAGTCTATTCAGCAGTCCTAAGGTGGGTTTATCTTAAACCAACAGATGAAAATATATCCTGCTTTCAAAGAACTTCAGCGAAAGAATCCTCTAATGAACAAGACAAAGGTTTCCCCTGAGCTTTTGAATAGTGGTAGGTTAATTGGTTCTTTATCCTATGTTTATGGAGGAGTGTTATGACATGCTATAAAATGCCTAGAGAAGTGTTATGAATTCTCAGTCACAGTTGATAATGTCATTCACAGCTTTTTCCTCCATCGTGGCATTTATTACATCTCCATTTGGACATCCACTGGCTGGTGCTAGAAATTCTTCATATACTTGGTGAAAAATTGAGTAAGTTTATGGATTTGTGTCCTATCTCTATTTTTAATCTAAACTTTTATTGTTTTCTAAAATTACACAAATAATATGTGCTTTTTGGTATATTTTAAAAAAATCAAGTAGTGGAGCTGGCAGGTGGCATGGTGGTTAAGGGCACTGGACTCCCACGTGACTGACCATGGTTTAAGTCCCGGACCTGGTGGCTTGCTTTCTCACTTT